AGTTTATGTGTGTTAAAATGTATTTTGAAATACCTTGACATATTTACATATCAATTCTGCAGAAGCTAGTGATTTTAAGGCATATTTAGCTTCTGGAATCTCTTCTTTCTCCAAAAAATATCATTCAATGAACAAGAATTTTGCAATGGTACCTATTTTTCATAGTAAAGATTTTCTTCAATTCAATTGAGATTGCAATACATGTACAAGTAATGAACTGTACAAAACATTCAATTGTTCAGACAAGGGTCAAAATTTGCCATTTGCAATGAGTCTTAAATGCACATTTTTAGGCTTGATTCCTTTAATGTTGTTGAACAAAAACCCTCATCTAAAAGGGATCATGAGGTTCCCTCTAAATCATGGAAAATGCAAAAGATGCATGTGCCATTTTCAGCATGAAATTTCACCTCTAGAAATGTGAAAGATCACACACAAATACAGGAGTTATCAACCTACATGAATCTTTCTTGAAATGTTGAAAGAAAAACAAATACACCCCACACACAGAACAATTCTAAACCAATAAGAAGTAGGTATTTTATTAGTTAGATTTCTGTCAGTTTCCAGCCTGTTCAATAGAAAAACAGAACCAGATTAAAGTGTCCAAATGAGTCAAAGAATGAATGAACCTGTAGATTTGTCTCTTGGTGCTTCAGTGTAATACAAAATATAATTTTCCTTTAAAGTCCCTGGCCATATTATTAGACGCACTCCAAATTTTTAACAAAATGTTAAGTTTTGAAGTTTCTCACTGCAGTACATTACATCTGGCATTGTTGCGAATCAATCAATAAAAACAAAGCTTCTTTTTCTATTAACACATTATTTGTCATTATGTACCATTGTTGTGACACCTTATTGTTGCTTAGACGCACAAATTACAAGAGTTGAGTAGAACAAGAGGTGACATGAGTAGTGAGTTGTTGCATAAAGATAGTTTATTTTCCATTTATTAGTTTGTGAAATAGTTATAGCCGTGTTTATTTAAAAATTGTGAATTGTTGTATACGAAAACTGATAGTTTTGAACAAAAATAATGGGAAAGGCAAGTGATTTGTCTTCTCGGAAGATCGCAGAAGTGAAAGCTCTTGTCGACACAGATAATTATTCAAATCGTGAGATATCTCGAAGGTTGAACGTATCCGAGATATCTATTCGGCGAATTAAGAAAAAAATTGTCCTTGGTGAAGAATTATCCCCACAAAGGAAGAATACATGTGGACGGAAGAGAATATTTTCACCAAAATCTGAGACATGTTTGAGGAAGATTTGCCATGAAAACCGGTTTGCTACTACTAAACAAATTAAATTTAAATTGGAAAGTAGTGAAATCTGTGTATCTGAAAGGACAGTAAGGCATACACTACTACAAATGAATTTTAAAGCTTGTAGACCAGCCCACAAACCCAGATTAACAGCTGGTATGAAAGAAAAACGTCTTGCATGGGCTAAGAACCTTAAGAATAAAGATCTGGAGTTCCGGAAATCGGTAAAAATTTAGTCTAGTGCTTTTTGTATAATTATAAATGGCTACCAAAATTAATTCTAATGTCATTTACTTGTATTTCAGGTTTATTTTAGCGACGAATGCACTTTCGAAATTCTAGCAAACAAACATCAATTTGCGAGAAGGTGCCTTGGTGAAAAGTATCATTCAGATTGTGTCATCCAGACTGTGAAACATCCAGTCAAGGCAATGATTTGGTCAGTGATCAGTGGCAAAGGCACGGGGTGTCTGTACTTGGTTAAAGGCATCATGAAACAAGACCTGTACAAGTATTGGAGAAACGACTGCTGCCTCAACTACAGGAACGGTTCACAAATGAAGAATCATTTGTTTTTATGCAAGATGGGGTTCCATGTCATACTGCTCGAACAGTTCGATCATTTTTGTTGGAGAAAAATGTTCCTGTGTTACAATGGCCAGGAAATTCACCAGATATGAACCTAATAGAAAATGTTTGGGAGCTCATGAAGAGGGAAATCCCAAAGGAAGAAATAACAACAAAAATTCGCCTCCTTGAGAAAATCATACAAGTCTGGTACCATCATCCAAAGTTGCAAGAAACAGTCTAGGCATACATTAATAGCATGCCAAAAAGAATTAAAGCTCTAATAGCCGCCAAAGGTGGCCTGACAAAGTATTTAAGATATACATGTGCATGGAGATTTTTCATGAAAATTAGTTTATTTATTATACTGACAGTCATAATTTTGCATATGATATCTTGTTTGTATTGTAAGTATTCAATTATTACTTATGTATTTTGTTAGAAATAAAAAAAATACATTTTTCGTCACAAAAACGTGATTTTTATTGAAAATTTAGGGTGTGTCTAATAATATGGGCAGGGACTGTAAGTACTGTACACAGTATTAAATGGTGTATGCAGTACTATACACAACATTCGGAAAAGGTCAATGAGAGTGTTAAAATTCTATTTTTGAATGTAAATATATTTTATATTCTGAATTCTGATTAAAAATTGAATTCAGATTACATATTTACATTCCTTGTGAGACAATCATATTGTTTCCATATTGCATTTTTTTAATAAAAAATTAATTATTAATTAAAATATTAAAAATTAATGATAAAACCCAAAAACTTTCAACTTTTGTTTAAGTTACATTCAGAGTAAGAAATCCTACAAATTTGCTGACTCAAGTTGGATCGGACAAATAACCGAAATGTGCACTTACATTAAAATTTCAAAAATTAAATTTATTTTCATGATTACATAGTGCTCTTGACCTAAACAAGAAATTAAAAGTAATTGATCTTCTTCTTCTCTCTTGCCAGGATTAGGCCTGAGGTCTGTTCCAATCTCACCTTGGTCCTCCCACACTTCTTTTGCAATATGCATTGTACTCCATTGCTTGCTTTGGAATCCTTGCTGGCAGCATGCGAAGGACACTATCTCCATTTTTCTTTATGGTGGTTCGCCTTTTCATTTATAATTGCATCCTTAGTTCATTCCTGATTGCTTCATTTCGAATTTTTTCTCTGGTGCAACCTTTAACCAATCTAAAAAATTTCATTTCTGAGGCTTCTAGTTGTTTAAGATTCGTGACTCCTCTCCGTATAGTAAAGTGAGGACTGCCATGACATGGTAAAATTTTAATTGCGTTTCTTTTCGTGTTCTTGTTTTTAAAATTCTAATTGTGCCACATATTTGTTGACGTATATTGATATTTTTCTTAATATCTTGGTCTTCTTCATAAGACATGTCACAGCTCAAATACTAAAAATGACACACCTATTCTGCTGGTTTGTCATTTATGACTATTTTTGTTCTTATTGTATAAATACGTGAAAAGGCCATTGTTTGGTTGTTAATAATATCTTTAAGTTAGAGGTTTAACTTATTTCGTTGAACCATTTGCAATTTATTCTTGCTGTCTTATATGATTATTTGATCATCAGCGAAAAGCAAGGTGTTAATACATCTGTTTGTTCTGATTTTAATTCTTGGTTGTGTTCGACCTCTTTTCCATTCTCTAGTCATATCATCTGTATAGATGTTGAATAGAGTTGGTGACAAACTACATCCTTGTTTCACTTCTTGATTTATCTGTATTTCAGATGTCAATACTAATTCTGGTGTTATTAAAGAGAATTTTTGACACTTAGATCAAATGTTTACGGAATCCTCTTTTTTTCAATACATGCCGTAGCTTATCACTTTGGATCCTATCAAATACTTTCTCAAAGTCTAGGTGTGTTTCTAAGTTAAATTTTTTTTTGGACTACTTGTTTTAAAGCAAAAACATCATCTGTGCATGATCTTCCCTCACGAAGCCTGCTCGTTCTAATAAAATTGTATCAGAAATATTTTAAAGTCTTTCGTTGACTATTTTACTGTAAAGCTTGTATGCTGAATTCAGAATACTGATACCTCTGTAGATAGTAATTGACATTGAAATAAAATAACTGAAAGCAGGATTGAAAGAGCTGAGAACTAAATGGTTTGACTTTAAAGTAATTGATATTGAAATAAAATAACTGAATGCACAAATTTACAATATTAGCAAGTGGATTTGGCTTCTACACAGATCCATTTCTAATTTCTCACATAATTCATAAAAAACACTTTGGTAAAGAGCATCAATAATGCATTCCTTAATAATCTGCCTTCTCACGGTGGTGTTCTACAATCAAAATGAAACTACTCTGATAAGTGTTGTGCAATCACCTTTGTTCGGAGACATAATATTGGGAGCTAACCATATTCATTAAATGGTGAGTCTCTGAGCACTGTCTAACATCATATTCATATTACTGTTACAGTAAATAAAGCTCTACGTTCACTGGAACTGAGTATACGCAACCCCAAATCCTTCCAGTCCACCGATATCTTATTAACTCTTTTAAAAACTTAGATTCATCCTGTTTTAGAATACCCTCTGGCATTTAGTCACCTCACACTAAATTATCTATCAATCATTTGGAAAAAATACAACAATTTCTACGACATCTAACTTTCAGAAACGGGACACCAGTTCATAGATTCGATCATGACCTTTCCAAGTTTTACAAATTATTTAAATCGGAAACTCTTCAGGATAGGAGAAAAATCTTTGATTTAATTTCCTTTCATAAAATACTAAATAGTCTCATCGATTGCCCTGCCCTTCTTTCTCCACATTCCTCAGATTAGAACAAGAAATCCTACCTGCTTCTGGTTTCATACATCATCTACTAATTACAGCTATTATGATATCTTCAATTGATTACTAAGAACCACCAATTACTATGGCGATATTATTGATTTTTCAATCACAACTTCAAAAATTGTTGTAGTTGTCTGAAAACTTCTTTTTCAATCCTGACTTAATCTGAGTTTTTGAAAGACAACTTAAAAAAATACTTGATACCAAAAATTATATCATTTTCTTTTTACAACACTTATCCTTTTCATAGCTAGGACTATTTTGATCTTTTATAGTTGTATGTTTCTGTAATTATGTATGAATTTTTTTCTTTTTGAACAAGGTTCATCACATTTTATTTACAAATAAATTTACAGTATGTATATCTGAATTTTTTTTACTAGTACATGTTGTAAAGTCAATTCTAAAGTACAAGCAATTGAATTGCACTCAAAATCTCGATAACTTCAATTTCAAATTGGATCATTTAGCTTAATTTACTTCTTTGATCTGCTTTATCATTTTATGAAAACATGAATTTGATACTAAGTTATATTTTGTGGTGACACTGTTCTTTATAGGAAAACTAAATAAATTGCTCTTGTAGATCTTACATAAGTTACAAATAAATCAATAATAGATCATTCGAGTTAAAATTTCAATTAACTCTCAATGCAACCCTGAAGCACCAACTTGCCACAATCCACTTGTCAGTTGTCTATACTAAAGTACAGCTAATGAATAAGCTCAAAAAACAAGATCTGCAAATTCTGAGTGGCATTACTGGTGAACAATATGTACAAAATACAAAGTTGTTCTTATAAAAATGTCAACCATTTTTAAGGCTTTTGTTCAACTGTAGCCACAGCCAATAGATTAAGATTGCAGTGAAATTTCATAATACAATAAAGTCTTCTAGGTACCAAACATCTGGACCTGCACTATTGTGTATTTTTCCCTACCAATTGTTCTTTTGGCTCCATTAGATTGGCAGTCCCAAATTCGTCAAATGATTTTGAAATTTTTGTTTGTTTGTACTGTAGACCATGATCATTGTCTTTGCAATCATAGAAATTGGACATGAGGTTTTGAATACAAGTTCTAGTTTCAAAAATTTCAATTTGGACACAATATACTCAATACTGTAAGTATTGTTACACATGGCTACAAAAATTTTTGGTTGCATGCAACAATGCACAATTTCCTTTTAAAGGTGAAAGTTTTTGAGGTGTTTTGAGCATAACCTTGGTAGTGTTGGGAGTTGACTCTTCATAGACAGAAAGGCCTCGCTAGCATTTGCCTTCCGATCACTTGTCTAAAAAAGAAAAATTTATTTAAAAAATCTTCACAATTCCAATTTTTTTACCATTAGGATAAACACACAATGGCACATGTAACCACAAATGTAGTCGTAAAAAGGCCTAAGTGTTTGGAGTGTGTACACTTACTCTTAAGTAGTTTTTTTACTTCAACTTCTATACTATTATCCATATTTCAAAACCTCACGAACAAAATCTGCGAGCAGAGGTCCCTAATTACAGCATGCATAAAAAATACACAGCAGACCACATCCAGTGTTTGAGACCCACAATTAGAGCATTGATTTGAACTACGGTTTTAAAACCAGTACTGTATACGCAGTACCTTGATTTCTATGCCATTGAAACTCTTCCTATAAAATAAAACTTAAGTAGAGTCTGATGTTTCATGATAATTAAAAATACCAAAATAATTACTCCATTTTCCCATAACAGAACCTCAAGTGTATTCATAGGGTTTGTAGAGATGGGGCTCAAGGTGGTCAAGACGATTCACGACTCCCTGCCACTAATTCAACAGTAGTGAGTAGGGTCCATTAATTCTACGTCAAGGCAAGGGAAAGAAAATTTTAACCCCAGCCTTTCTAGCATATGATCTGAAACCTCTTCTCAGAAGCTAACCTTGTTCTAAAGGAAATTATAAATGTTTAAGTTAAACTATTTCTTTGTCCTTGCCTTTTTAACTTCCAGATTTATGTAAATTTTATTCATTGCCTTAAAAAACAAATCTTGAAAATATGTTGACTTGGGTACAACTATCTTTATTGTTTAAGTCTAGTACATCGCTTGAAAAGAATTTTTACTTGTTACATTCACTTGATGCACATACCAGAAGAATCAAGATCTTTTTAGCTTGTTTGATACACTTAAATATTTACATAAAAACAGCACAACTTAACGCTAGAAAACCAATTGATATGAACATAATATTAAAAAATTCAGTCTTTTTCTGCACATTTTTATTATTCACTTATTCCTGGGGAGCCATGGCACGAGCTTGGGCCCGGACACGCTTGTCATATTCGAGACGATTTTGACTGTAAAATGAAATAATATTCCATTATTAATACTGAAATATATTCTGGTTAAGGTAAAAAGAATATTATCGATGCTACATCATATTACCAATAAATAGTGTATGCTTCTGCCTGTGCTGGATCTTTTATGTTAGGCTCATTCAACAAATCCTGAATTCCCAGTAAAATTTGCTTGATGGTAATTGCAGGCCTCCAATCTTTTTCTTCATCCAATAGAGAAAGGCAGACTGTTCCTGATACACAACTTATTGTCAGAATGTAAAAAAAAGTCATTATAAATCATATTTAACTAAATACAAAATTTTAAGTTACCTGATGGATAGACATTAGGGTGAAACAAGGGAGGCTCGAACTTGCATTTTGGAGGGCTTGATGGATAATCATCTTTAAAAATCATTCTCAATTTGTACTGACCGCCCTCCCAAGGAGTCTGCAAAAAACATATTCTCCTCAAATGCACACCCATTAATACATATATTCACTTTCTTCTAACTTTTACTCACAGATTTTTTTCCTGGTATGGCACATTCCCAGCTCATCAAGTTCAAACTTCCATCAGGATTTTTGCAAGGGCGGGCAACAAACCCCTAAAGATAAAAATTGCGTTACGAATTTCTTAGTATCTATGACTTGTAATAAGTCCTTAAGGGCAGCTATACGCAATTTTGCAGTTACTTGTCTACTGTACTCACAAATGGATGATCCTTTCGCCAAGCCTTCCGTTCTTCCGCCAGACGAGCTATTGCGATTCCCGACATTGTCACACGTACAGTAACAGAACTTCAACTGCAAAAGTAGAGCAAAACGTTTTTAAAGAAGTGTAAAAGAGGGCGCTTCTGAGTTTTGGGTTTTTAATGTGCAGAATCTCGTTAAAATAAAATAAAGGGTCAACATCTCAAAACCATGGGGGAAGCAACTGAGCATTACAACAATGAGACACGGATTAACCTGTGGAAATGCAACAGCTTCCCGCATAAAAATTCAAGTGATTGTAAATGAACGAAAAGGTTTGAGAGCCTGCTGAGCCTTACAATTGCCCTATTCGAACCTATATTCAAACAGATACGTAACCCTCGAAATTCCACAGCAGTCACAAATACAACCAACAACTTGGGCTTGCCTCGCGATTCGCGATCTCAGCTCGGCGCCCGCCTACTCGGCCCGCGCGGTCGCAGGTTTCGAGTGGTTACTTTAGTGAATGATCCTAGGGACAGTGACCGTTTAGCTGCTGACCACAATCAACTACTACGATCAAGGAATTGTTTTCAGAAATCGTTAGAAAAATATGTACGACTTCGCCAGTGCATTGTCCACGTCTTTTAGCGAATAACCTCCGTTATTTTACTGAAATAATTTAATTTTCCTGAAGGGATATTTCTTTTCTGAATAAGTTTTTTTTTTCAAAGAATGTAAAATTAATTACACTTGTACAATTAATATTATTAAGGCTTCAATTGTTCCTGAAATCACTGGAAATGAAGTTCAAGCAGTGCTTTTTCTGATTACATATTACTGGATAGTCAATGTTGCACGAAAATAACATTTCTCTAGGCGCCACCATGTCTGCACTGGGTGGCCACTCTCCTCATTGGGTGAAAACCATATGGCGGATCAATTTACGTGGCACGCTTTTAAATTTAATAGATGGGGTTGTCCATAAATTACGTAACGCCAAACACAAATTTTCTTGATATTTATTTTCAGTACTTTCCTAAAACATTTAAATATTAACTATTAGTTTTAAATAAAATAAATTAAAGTGTTAATACGTAAATTGTAACAATAAATGGAAATATTTTCCATTATTTTTTTGATTGAGTCTGTAAGATTACGAAGAAAATATTCAAAACTGATTCTGGAATCCAATTAAATTGTCAAGGTAACTCTCCCCATGTGACATCCAGGAGAACTTGTGAACGGCTTGTTGTCAAACATTATCACGTCTGTGCGTTCTTCCTTTACTTAAACATTGTTCTTAGTCTTATTGATAGGTGTAGTAAATTAATTAAAATTTTAATATGTAACACAAATAAAAATAATACAAACTGTTTTACTCTAATATTATTTATTTTTACTTTCCCGTATTCGTACAAATATACGAAGTAATTGTAATACAGGGAAAAATGTATTGCTGCGGAAAATCGATTTCAAGATTTCAACGCAAGTACACATTTTGGGGACCTCTCATACCGAAAAGTGGTTCTTTTCAAAACGTCCGAACGTGTGTCAGTCTGTGAACACCACTGACGCCTAAACAATATGTGCAATATTTTTTTCAAAATAAATAATCCCTTGCAAATCTGGCTCCACTCTAGGCTCCGCGATTTTGAAAAACTTTCTTTAAAATATGGGGTAAAACCAGGCATTTTCAAAAAAATTTTCAAAAACAGCTCTAAATTTTTTAAATGTTTTGTAATAATAGAGTAAAATACACTTATAATGTTGACATAGGTCCAATTTTCGCGGCTAACTCTAAATTTTCGAAATTTGCCAAAGTTTGAATTTTTCTGCGTCTTTCTATAACTACACAATTGAAGACAGACATTTTTCTTCAAATAAAATTTTCCCTCCTTATTTAGTTCTTTCAATAAAGTCATGTACATTTTTTTGAAAATTTTAGTAGTTTTCGAGCAATATTGCACGCACTATTTGCAATTTTAAAAAATTACAAAAACAAGATTTTCTCAAAAACGGCTCCAATTTATTTCTTTGAACTTTGGGTAGTGAGTGTACTAAGTGAACTCTATAAGACGTCATTAACGCCTTATTTCTCTATTATTTTGTTTTTCAAAAATTACAAAAATGTAACGTCTCTCACGTCGTAAATATTTACATTAGCGGCTATTTTTACACATTATTACATTTCTAAGTGCATGTGCTTTTAATAATGTCAGGTAAAGTTTCTCAAAAACTCAACAGTTTTCTGTGAAATGCGCTCAAAATTCCGCCTTTTCTGGAACACTCGAAGACCATTTTCTTCAAAGCGGCTCCAAATTTTTCAACGGATAGTGCTGATTAGAGTGTTAGATGAGATAGAATTAATTTTGCGGTATTTTTTGTATTTTTCAAAAATTAAGGAAGAGTATTATTTTTAAAATATCTCCGTCCTTTAATATGCACATTTCCAACAATTTGTAAACACTATTGCATCCTTCTTCTCCATCACTGTCAATATAATCGCATGTTATGTTCATGCATTCATTTTGTCAGTGTGTTCGTTTCCAGTAAACATTGTGTAAATAGCTTCATCACAGGATTTCTGCTTTCAGGATAGCTGCTTGTTATGTGCACTGGCGGATCTAGGGGGGCCATGGCCTCCCGCAAAAAGCCTAGTGTTTTCGTTTACCTTCCTGTATGTGAAAAATTTGATTTAAATATTCATTTATGTTCAAATTATGTAATTAATAAAACAATTATTGTGTAGAACGCTATATAGGTACATAAGTAATATAAAATATATAATAATAAAAAATGTTTATTATTTAACAAAAACCTACAATGCACCCCTCTCCCAAATGATCTCCTGGATCCGCCCATAATTATGTGGGATTACCGGATCCATTTATTGATCCTGAGCAGGAAACGGATTTCTATGTAAATACATATTTTTCTAAATAAGCTAATGTCGATTCTAATTTGCTTTATTTTTATGTTTCACACTGTGTAGATTTGAAAAATGCTTCTTTTATTTTCCATATTTTGGATATTGATACATATTTGAACTAAAGTCCACATATTTCCATTTTTCGTATAAAATCAGTATATAGCGCATGTTAAGCTTAACACTGAATTTTCCTAAATATAAAAATGCATCTCAACAATGAGAAATTAAACATTTTCAGTAATTGATTGAACAATGAGACAATGAGAAAGCAAGTTAAGAAACATGTTTTAATTTTTGTAAAGAATAGATCCACTCTCCGGCCCTGAGCCCCTGCGGCTGGTGCCCCGGCGGCTGGTGCCCCAACAAACTGAAGGTTCACCTTCATCGAATGACGGAAATGTTATTTCCAAAATTCAAAGTACGAATATATAATAAAAAAATGTAACCAATTCAAATTAGTTAAATGAAATGATGTAATAAGTTAAATGAAAGTCTATACTGATTATTGAAACATTACTCACATAATAGTTGTAGTGTCCATTCAGGTACATACACCTCCCACGCACGTGGTCTCTTTGATTTTCACTGGACACTTAAGCAAATACGAGGCAATAGTGGAAAGCCGTAAAATAATTTGGTGTCAGTCAGAAACTGCGCTATCCAGCGGTTCGAGGTGTAAACTACAGCGCCCGCTGGATTTGAGAGAGCGCGCGAGTGATTTACTAGCAAATAAAAGAGTGTTCGTTGTTAGTGTTTTCTTAGTGTTTGTCATGTGTCATTTTATTATTTGCGAAACGGTCGTTTTTGTATAACTTGCAGGAAGGGCTTGCGTTTTATAGCGTTCATGGATGCAGTTATTACAAACTGCAAAATGATCGCAAATCATTTTACCGTTTTCCTAAAAATAAGCATTTGTAAGTATTGAGTAAGCACATGGGCGGTTTTTGTTATTTCAGTGGATTTTTTACTTTCTGTAAATTGTATTTTATTTTATAGATGCTCCCAATGGGTTGTTAAAAGCAGAAGAAAAAAAATTAGTCACGATATTAAAGAAGCAAAGACCCGAGAATTTAAATGATTATTATGTTGTGTGTTTGCCCATTTCTTATCTAAATATTTTGGGAATCAAAATCTCGAGTCAAGGGAAAGCTTTACCATCTGTTTTAAAGAGAGATGTAGTGTAAATTATTTAAAAGAAAAATTGTTTCAATGTTTTATGCTGATGCCAACACACTACACTACATAATATATTTTTGTGCATGAATAATTATGCTTTTCTTGAAAATTAATTAAAGTTACTTGGACAGTTTTTGAAAGAATTGTGACATTGATTTTAGGCTTTGGCCTGGACGATGCGGTTGCCAATAATTTTCTACTATCGCAAATTAAGTTAAAAAAGTACAGAGTCGAAGTTATTTTGATCAAGATAGAAGTATTGTACTGGCACTGCATTATTGTTCAGCAAAATCTTATAAATTTAGATAGAAATGTTACTGTTTACGTACCACTAGGTCATTAAGAACCTAGCTGCAGAGGGCAGCTGTACAAATAGGTATCAACAAAATAGTACTAGATTTGCTTCTAATTAAAGCAGAAAAACTAAGTAGAGAGGAAAACATTGTGTCCATTGTATTTGATGAAATGTCATTGAATACATTATTAACTTACTATCCTGAAAATTATGTATTTGAAGGATATGTAGATTTTAGAGGTATGTGGTAGCCAATTTGCGAGAGCTAAGACAACCCCTGTAATCATGCAACGTTATTCATGATAAAAAGGTTGTACAATGATTTCAAACAAATTGTGAGTTACCATTTGAAAGAAGATGTTGGGTCAGTAAGTGTAGGATTTGTTTTGTGAAATGTTGAGTGAAATTCAGGCAACAGGGCTAATTCCCAGACAGTGCAGTGTGTGATCAGGGTGGAAAGAAGGTTAAAATTCGGAATTTTTTAGGGGTAACTTCTGAAAAGCCATATGTAGAAATCAACAATAAAAAGGTATATTTCTTTTATGACTCCCCTCACTTGATTTAGTCTGCGAGAATTAAATTTAAAAAATATTATTTCATTTGTGATGGGAAAATATGTAGCTGACCTCACACCTGTGCTATTGATGCAGCAGACATGTTGGAGATGTTTGACATATTGTTCGACATCTTTATCTCCTCAAAATACAGTAGTTGCAAAACAATTCCGAAACCACTTCGTCAGAAATCTCAATATTTGAAGAAAATGAATGAAATTCGAACTAAGTTGAAGCTTTCTGTGCTGAATGGAAAGAAATATCCCTTCTGTATACAAGGTTTCATTGACAATATTACTGCGTTGAAATTATTGTGGTGCGAGTTAAGTACAGAGTATGCGTTTAATTTTCTTTTTACATGGAAACTCACCCAAGACATTGAAAGCATTTATTCAATTGTTGGAGGAAAGGGAAGAGACATCACTCCTGATGCTGTAAAATTTCGTAGTGCATTGGAAACTGTGATGATGAATCAATTACTGTCACCTCCAGAGACAGCAACTGTGAAATTGATGCAACCAATTTTTTATATGCAGA